CTGAATACTTTCCGTACCCACTGTATGCTGTATCCTGATAAGTGGGTTAGAGCAGGTTTATCTAAGATAAGGGCTATAACCTCAGATAATAAGAGCAGTTTATGAGACATGAATGAAAGTCAGCTGAAAGCAGATCATGCACTTCACTTCTGTTTGTCCATGCACTGAGGTTTAGGTGCACTCAAGAACCACAGCACTTGACAAAAAAAAAAAAAACCCTTGGAAAAATAGGCTTACAAAGTCAATTTGTTCTTTTTGGTTATTTGTATCTGTAAAACTACTTTAGATTTTTGTTGTCATAGGAAAAAATTTGCGTTGCTTCTCTCTCTTCTCTCATCATGTAAAGAAAGAGAAGGGTATGTGTGTGATTACACTGATATTGCATTTATACTGTGCAATAAAAACAATATTTATGTTAATTAATGATTATGTTTTTTGAACAACTCAAATTTTCTGCATGAGAAATTGAAACTAATGACGACATAATGCGTTGCTTTCGTTCTCTTCATTAAAATTTTCAAGTGGAAGCAGACATTTTTTTTTGTTCCTGAGCTCATCTAATACTCCACATTCCTTTCATTCAGTCAGAAGCATTTGGAGAGACATAAAATTACCAGATTGTCGCTCTGACAACGCTGTGGGCCTTTCTTGCGTGTGAAGTAACCCAAAACCTTATCCTTAAACACCTAAATGCAAAAACATGAGAAACAGATTATAAACAGATGAAATAGAATATGGTCATTGATATTAGAATTAAGCATTAGCAGTAACTATATTCAAGTGCACTCTGAATTTCACAAAATGAGAGATGCTTGGATTTAGACTAATATACTAATGCTATTCTCATATCTGGACACTATATGTAGTTGCAACTAGCAGCTTAGCTTAACATAAAGACTGGAAACAGGGGGACAGCTAGCTTGGCTCTGTCCAGCGGTAACAAATCTGCCAGACCTTTTCTTGTCTGCTTGTCGCCTGGCAACTGTTCCTAGCCAGAAAATAGTCAGGCACGTAACCCCGTGTAAAATGCAACATTTTTTGATTTTGTATGCAAGATTTTATGTGTTTATATAGTGAGCTTCACATATGCTGGTATCCAAATGTTGTTACCGTGCCTTCATGCTAAGTTAACTGCTGGCTCCAGATACATATTAACTCCACAGAAAGTGGTATTGACCCACTCGTCTTAATCTCAGGAAGAAATTGAATATGCATACTTCTGAAAGTGTCGAGCTGTTCCTGTAATCATTTGCTTGTTTATGTTTTATCTATTATTGAGCAGTGCTGGAAGTGCGCTGGTATATAACAGTATGCAGTACTGGCACTTCTACATTTTACTCTTTGGCGCACCAGGACTTCTTGTGTACCAGCACTTATCACAGGCTGCAGGTACTCTTTTCTGCAATCTTTATCAGCTTGTTTGAGATGCACTATGTCTCGCCTAGACAGTGGATGAAAGCAGACAGTCAAAACAGACTGTTTAGGAGATTTATACCAGCTACAGCACGGGAGCCAGGGGGCTAGCTCCATAAAAAGAGACCTGAGCTCCCCCAGAAGCAACAAATATTTATGTTTGGTGATCCCAAATAATCAATAATCATTACAAGTTTTTTAAATTCTGAACTAAAAGCAGTAAAGTTTCACCCCCATCTTGTCTTTTCCTGTCCTTTACTTCTTCTCCAGGTCACATTTACTTGGTATTTTCAGTAGGCTACTTGCAGTTTTTGAAGTATGCAAGTAGTCTGTTTTACTTTGAACAGTATACTTTGAGCACAGGCAACATTCATGCCCTGAAGAAGCATCTAAATATCACACGCCCCTGAAGCAGTGGACAGAACTGGTACATGCAGACTGTCTGTCTGACCAACTTAATAATGCCTGTAATGAATAAATAAATATTATGATTATAATTATTTGCTACTATTATTTTTACATCATGCGCATTTTATTTAAACCCCTGTTTTTTTTGCCAATCAGGGGCAGCACAATAAGCAGTAAATACAATAGGCCCCCACAACCACCACCACCAAAGGGGAGTACTGGCACTTTTTCTCCCCAGTTCAATCACTGTTATTGAGTCATAAATAAAGATAATTAATGTTCAATAGCTTGATTTTTAATTACTCAAAAGCCTTTGTTTTACCTCATATAGGTAGTCAAATATTTCCAGTATTGTTAAAACACTGGCTCCAATAAACAGCCCCATCTGGCCTCCAATGTCACCTAGAAAAAGAGAGATTAACAGATATTGGCAGGTATAGTAACTGACCAATGATGTGTGAAACCATTCCTGATGCTGTCACTTCTAATACAGCGTCTCTCCCGGTAATCGGAGCAGAACTGTCAAGTGTCCAACCAGCCTCAACTTCTCATCAGACCCAAAACGGCCTACCCTTGGAAGAGCATCAGATTATGAAAATGTGCTCAGCCTGTTTCATAAGTTCAAAAACAGAAACCGCAAAGTACCTGTCGTGAGTACACTGTGTGAAAAGTGAGGTGGGTGGTCTGCTGGAAATGCTGATACTGAGGTCAACTAAACTTCCAAGAATCTTACCAAGCAGCCCTGCAATTTCATAGGCCTTCTTCTGCTCAATCTTCTCATAATTCAGAGCTTCAAAGAAGATGTCCAAGACCAAGATATTTTCTCTGGCGAGAAGACAGACAAGAGCACACCCATCAGATTTCATTTCTGGGGAAGGGATTACATTACCCCAAATTACATCTGACATTTTCTGACGAGCTATCTTTCATTATTGTTACATTGAAGGTGAACGATGGAGACTCGGGTTATTCTATGCTACAGTACATTCATCAACAGAAAAATAGATAAAAGGCCATTATCTAAATAACTGACTGCTACCAAACAATACTTACGCAATATATTGCTCAGTTTTGTTGAATTTCTTAGCCAGATATTTAGCAGATGCCTTACTGGGGATCTTAACCATGGACAGCTCCTTGCCATACCGTGTCATCTTGCAGGGGGTCTGACAGTCACAGTATTTGTTGTCTTTCTCTACCAAAAAGCCTGTGGATGATCAAAGTTGTTAAAAAAATATTGTCATCACTGCAAAGAATCAAACAAACCTGCATACTGAGGTTCACAGTTTCTGCTAAAAATATCTCTGCACACAGTGAAGAACTACATTTGCTACCATCGTTCACTTTCCATGAAAGCAAATAATGAGTGACACTATAATACAAAGGAGGGAGGAAAGAAGCTCTCTGAGATTTATTCGATATCAGTGAAGCACAGACACATCACAGATCTTCCTAATGGAATTTTTAAATAATCATTTTATTAGTTTGCTTCAGTACTGCCTGAGATTAAAGTGATTTCACATGAAAGCTGGAAGTATGATCTGAAAGCTGAAGGCACTGCTGCTGAACACTTGGTTAAATCCAGGCATTAATGCTAAACTATTACACTAGTATTTCATACACTGTATGGTAAAGCATGTGGGCTTACCTAAAGCTGGGTCAGCACAGTCTTTGTACAGCTCAGGTGTGCAAACCGTTGTGGTCCCTGTTTGAAGTTACAAAGAACTCAAAACACTGACACACTAAATATAAAACTAATACACAAGAATTTTCATTTTTTATCTGTAAAGTCAATGCGAATTCATACCCGGCATGTGTACCATCCTGCAGTTGCAGTTCTCCAGCAGGTACCGGGTTTCACAGTCGATGCGGCAGGCAGTGATGCTGTATGTGGAGAAGTATTCAGATTCTATGGGAGTAGACTTACAATCTCCCCACGGTGGAGGGAGGTACTCAAGCTGAAAGAGCAAACAGCATGTTTTTCTCTCAGTATACATGGGATTTACAATGATAATATAATGTAAGCTCAATACAACAGCAGTACAAAAACAGGACAACAAACTGATGAAACCCAACACAAATCTTTCAAATAAAACCAAAAACATTTAAATGAAAATGTGCATTGAGACAATACTGTCACAAAATGTCCAGTCAAAATGTCCATGTATAGCAAGCAGACATCATGCAGAAAATTACTGATGCAGGTCTTGCCCCCCGGCAGGAAGCAGAGTACCAAGGGAATAGAGACAGACTTAATAAAAATAATAAATCTGTAAAATATGTAGTCTCCGACAGGACACCACAACCAATGGACAAATTTTATAACTCTGAGAATTAAACTCAGAACAATCAAAAGGTTTTCAAGTGAACAATTAATTTAACAGACATTACACAGCGTAGCATGTACGTATACTGACAAATTTTTAACAAAAACAAACTACTTTCTAATGGTTTTATTGCTGATTAATTATATTTTCTCACCTATGCATATGGGCTTATTACAAAACTCCCCTGACTGCATAGCCCTGTCAGTTTAATAATGAAGTGGAGATGTAGTGTATAGTCAGTTCACAGTCTCATGAGAAGAAAAACTCTCATTAAAAAAATGAAGACCGGGTCACTGCATTTATGAGTAATGCAGGGAATTCTAAATGAATCCACTAATGAGGAATATTTAATGCCAGGATTTTAAGGTTTTGGTGACACTAAACATTACACCCATGATGCTTGACCTCTATCTGCATCATTGCACCCTGTGTATGCAGAACCAATCATTAATGAACTCCACTGATACTTGATTGGGCATTTGAACACAGAGCTACTAATTGCAGCGACAGCTAGTGAACAACCAATGCCAAAGGATACTTTGACAAACTTCACAAAGAAATTATGCTTCTATCTTCTCATTAAGGTTCATTGTAATTCCTAATCATCACCGCCAACCCTAACCAACCTAATCTAATGGCCATTTAGTCAATATAAAGTGACATAGACTAAGTAAAAGTGAACTTAAACATGATTAAACTTTTATTACACTCCATTTCTAGTCCACATACTCTCATAACTAGAGATAAATTCCTAGTGCAATAAATGCTAGCCTTCGATCTGATGCCAGTGTCATCATGGGTAATAAAATCTAATGAATCACATTGTCTGGTCCCTGCAGATTAGATTAAGGGGCAGCCCAGTGTATCATCCCCATGACACATAAAAGCAAAACAAAGAAAGTGTTAACAGAACTGTGCATGGCAGTGAAAGGGTAACATCAAACAACTTTAATAAAGATACAGATCAGATTAATGGCTTGAAGCTAGAATGAAATGCATTAGCTGCTTTTACTACTTATCTATTAAACTGAGAAGACAATGACGGATTGCGGATGTTGCATGTTGTTGCCTCAGCCACACAGAGGGAGTGGCTGGATCCATTCCTCAGGGGGGGTGGGTGGGTATTGAACAGTGGAAGTGTAAAAAAGGCCCAAGGTTTATACTGTAGTGGTTACTTTCCTAGGTCAGGGCCCTTTAAGTTGGGTGTAGTATGGGTGACGAGTGGTGCTTGTCTACTTAGTGATGGAGATATGTGGTTGTGCGTTAATACTATGTAAGTATTATCAGTTATGGGCCCTTTAAGGGTTATGGGGAAGCAGTTGTATGTGATGGCTGGTAAAGTGTTCATTAATAGTGCACGTCGCTAACCTTGTTATTCTCACTATGCACTTCCTTTCGTTTCATGTACGCCTCTTAGTTGAACGATTTGGCTCGACCTAGGATCTGTTTCTCTTGTGCACAGTTCATAGTGCGTTTACAGTTTCACCGTTTAAGTTACCAGTGTGTTTATAAACTGCATGGTGTTTCTGTGAACATGTATGTTACGACGCTAAAAACAGGTTTGTCACATATACCGCTAAACGGGGGTTGTGACTCCACCGGGAGTGGTATATCCGGTTAGACCTTCACAATAAGAGCATTTGGTCTGTTTGTAACCGATACAGGATATGTTCCTTAAGCATGTGTGGTAACTTAATTTCAATTAGTTTATAAATAACAGATCTCTGTATACTTTGCTCATCCAGCCCTACGTTAATATGTATTATACTTATGCATACGGTAATGTGCCTATAAGATGCATATATCTTAAATCCTTATTCATTGTATTTGTATCTATATTATTTGCAGGAAAACCACACCCACATGTAATCTTTGCATGAGAAATTGGATTAAAGGATCGTTAACTGCAACTTTAAGCACCTGATTCATTCTGGGAATATATGGGCCTTAAGTGGTGTTCTGGCCGACACACCGAGGTGACCATAGTGTTATAAGGACTGACCAGTGCCATAGACATTTGGAGTTTTCCTCGCTCACAGGAAGTGTAGAACTTGATGATGGGCATGTAGCTATTTCATGCAGTAAGCCCAGACAGTCATACGCTACCCTCTGCTCTTGGGTGGACACAAATATTTGGAAGCTGGGGGTGACCCCAAAGCCCAGCTCATGGAGGAAAGGAGGCTCTGACTGAGAGTGAAGCTGCACCTTTATGCCGGCCTCATAGGACGTCTCATCTAGGGCGAAGGGTGAGGGAACATAGCCCACATCATTAACAAAATAACAGAAGAGCAACAGCACAGTAAGGGACAGAAAAATTGCTCAAGCTCTCTGGACACACAGCCTGTTGTCACTACAACAACAAAACGTCCCCGAGGCTCTGCAGCCGTGGTGCACTGCTGGGTTGTCATTCAGCCATTCTCTTATTACATTCACTCAAACCTGAGTGAAGACACAGTTCGGCTACAACCGCTGCATACTTCTAGCCCAAAATTTGATGGTGTAGTCTTCTTGTCTCTAGAGGCTCACAAGTCACAGCCTCTTATTAAAAATGAAATTCTTAGTCTTGAAATGATATGTGCTTCATCCAGCTGTCTATTATTACACTGAGAGTAGTGTCAGTGAAATTAATGCTGGCCAGACTTTAATGACAGTCTAATTAATTCAGCACATATTTTAGGTTGTAAACATGTCTATTAACTGTCACTGCTGTGGGTGTGTATCATGAGTATAAATGACAATCCATGCATTTTTTTTTTCTCTATTTGGAGCAAACTTTGAGGTGATTAATAGATCAGATTCACTTCGTGGAGATGGCTGAATGATGATACACGTAGAGCAACATTTGTAGAGATAAAGAAAAAGAGAATCATATATTCAAATCTGTTTCCCATAAATAAAATTTGTCATCTTTGTGGTGTCCAAGTGTCTGTTTCAGGAGACCAAAACTCTGCCTCGATTATCCCATGTTATTCTGCTAAAACAAGAGAGGAAGATTTTATTTGATCAATTATCTCATGCTCATGAACTGACCAAGACCATTAATGTAAGGAGCAAAATCATTTTGATTAGGCTTGGTTAAAGTAATGAATTTGATTTACTGCTCAAGACTTCACAAGGACTGTTTATGTGGAGGAAATGTTAATGAGTCTCCAGCATAATACAAAAATACACTTGATCTCAAAGATAATCATCACAAAAACACAAAATCCTTTGCAGCTCAGGTGTCATTTTTTTGTTTTCTGGTTGTCTGGCTATTTTGCTGTTCTGTCACTGTTTCCTTTTGGAAATCAAAAACTATGCAACGACTGTGTCTGGCTTGTCGGCTTTTCTAGCATAGACAGGAGAGCCAAAATTTGAATTAGCTGTCTTGGTAACATCACATAACTGCTGTATAGTTTTACCAGGTCTGGATAGGAAATCCATATGAGGTCAGTGTTACAATCTCACACAAGGCTTTCGATCAATTCAGACTTAAGATATTATGATATTACTTTCCATCCTTCACTGAGGGCAGTGAAGGGACAACTAAGAACCAAGAGCTAATTTTCTACAGTCAACAAAAGCTGTTACTGCTTCCCTTGATATAAAACTGTAATTTTACAGTTCCACTAAATAATAATACATTTTAAAATATGTTTTCAAAATAGCTGTTGGTCATTGTTCTCATCTAAAAACACATCCTACTGTATACAGTAAGTGCTAGTGGGAGTTGAAAATAAACTAATATAATGACAAGTGCAGATACAAGGCTTCTTTTCTGGTTCAGTTTAATGTCAAAAACATGAGGATGATTTTAATATTTTTCCCTCAAGTGTCAAGAGAGAGTCTTTAGTGGTCACTTATTTATAGTAAGGCTTTAAAGCTGCCTAATTTTGGCTAAGTGGTGCTGCCAATGTACCGTTTTAGCAATAGTATGAGTGAGAGAAATCATTCACAATGTTGAATATTACTTTAACAATTTCTTTAAAGGGAGTTAATTATACAAAATTGTTCATTCTCACTTCAAAAACTTAAAGGTTTATTTTTTGTTAATCAGAGTTAATGTTTTCACCGGTACTCTGCTGACCATGGCTGTGTAAGTTCTGTGTCTTCCTTGCAGTTTTTCTCTGCCTTCTCTTTGAAAGTGCCATTAGTGACACTTTTCATAGTATACAAATTGCTGCATTTCTATTTTATCCAAGCTAAAAGCAGTGAAGAATCAATATGAGAAATAAAGCAAACACTGAGCTGCCAGATATTTTGCATGTTGTGTAGTCTGTTTTTTTTTTTTTTTTTTGTGGCTCTGATAAGGACAGTATGCTCGTATGCTTGCATCCAACCAAGAGCCCTGCTCTACTCCTTAGCTGCTACAATTCCTCTGTTTCATTTGCTATACCCACATTCTGTGGATGTTTAAAGTATATACTGTAACACCTTAACTCCACATTTCCTACCTGAGGTTAATCAAAGATCTGATTTTGCTCCAGGCTCTGTGACACAGGTAATGGGAACTGGCTGGTGAGGATTTAGACACAAACACAGAATGAAGCAGAGCTAAAAAAAAAAAAGATTGAGGGGGGAGGAGGCTTAACATTAGGTACCTGTTGCTGCTGACATGACACAAAAGTTTGAAAACCAGGGGCCACACCAAATCCCAGTTGGTCAATGAAGGGTGGCTCATCCTGGCTGTGGATCTGAACCTTGATGCCTGCTTCGTAGGAGGTCTCATCTGTGGATATAGCACACCAGAAAGTACAACAAGAGGTACAGTCGCCTATGGAATCCCGCTTTGTGGCTCTTTGTCCTTCCACTCCTGACTTGTATACCGACAAACAAGTGTTTATAACTTCATGCTAGAAGCTGGTATAAAAGAAATATGTTAGTGTGCTGGACCAATATTAACTTCAATCATGATGTTTAGCTAATGGTTATATGGTACTAGTATTGTTGTCCACCATAACGTGGAAACAATATGTCAGTGAATGCAATTTATTAGACCTGAAGTCTGTTGTAGACCTGCAAAAATATGCATGGTACTACACAGCTTCTGCGTAGTGCACTAGAATGCAAAGTGAATGATAAGTCTTGAGACCTGTTATCTATATAAAGCAATAGAGCTTCTTATCTTACAGAGAGCCAAAGCCATGTCATCACATCCAGTTAGCCTCTGTTCGACTAGTTTCAGTGACTCCATGCAATCTCTCATTTAGCATTTTTTTCCATCGGTCACTGTAAGAAAACTAAGCGTGTTCCTTGAGATTTCTGCTGAAAGTCGAAACCTTTGTGGTTTTAAGAAGATTAATTAACAATACATTTTTTAGCACTGGCTTTGCAGCACGGCGATACACATATTATACGTCGCTGTTACTTACTAGGTGTGGTCAGTGAGTTATATGAATGCTCACAGGATGGGTGGTATTCGTCTAGTGTGGTAGTTGTTTTGTGGAAAGGGCTTATACCCTTTTGCTCTCAGCTACCGCCACTGTCTAGCCCTTTTTGGGTGAAAAGGAGGCCGAGTAGGTAAGTCCTCCCTGACAGTACATAGCCTCTCCACCATCAGGACCCTAGCTATGCCTCTTTGTGGCACCACACATCAACTAGGTACCTTGCAGCCCCAGGCTAAATAGCTAGGGATCTCAGAAGCGCTTGGCCCCCAGAGGTGAGGTGTGCAGGCCCACTGGTGTGTGGCCAAGCCCTGGTAACTACCAACCAAGCCCCATCTATAGGTTAAATAGACAACAACCATGCTGTAAATGGTGAGTGATCTGTACACTTGGCGGAGGAGGGACATGGAGGTCCTCAACGGCAAGGGCAGAGGCGGTGCCATGATGCGTCAGCAGAATAAACATCGTTCACACCTGGTGGAACTCACAAAGGAGGAGTATAACCATCCCAACTGCCAGAGCAGTACTGAGAGGAACTGCGGCCCCAGTAATTAACAGCATTGCTAGGCTTAATGATGGCAACACCATCAGTTGACCAGCGTCAGTTGGTAATGTTTCAGCCTCGATGGGGCTCAGGCTTCTGGGAAATGGTGTTCATTAAAGCCCGGTAAAAACAGAAGTATTATATTATTGTCAATAATACATAGTTTTAAAGAAGGATATCATTTATTGTAAGCAAATGCAGTGAAACTCACAGCATACTATTGAAAACGTCTGTGTTCCGAGGCTGGATTTTTAGTTATTAGCCAGTTTAGAAATCTCAGTGGGATTTTGAAAGAGGTTTTCTATCTTGGAGAACACAACCTGGAAGTTCTGGTTTCACTTCGGCTTTCTACAGAGATGACAAAAGACTAGAAGAGTAGTTGGGATTTCCAGGGTAACCCAGCATAATGGAGAGCTTTCCACATGCGTGTTATACAAGTTAAAATGTTACTATAAATGTCAGGGTGGTTCTTAACACTCCACTGACCTGTCTCTGCCCAAACAGGCAGGTATTCATCTTGCTGAATATCCAACATGATCTCCAAGCCATTCCCCATGCCACCTTTTAACGTGGTTAACAAAGGGTTGCCGTCTAATCCAGAGTTGAAAGTGTAGCATTTCCCGTAGCGTGTGTAAATCTGTGAAAAAAGAAAAAAATAGAAGTGTAAATAATGTATCACATCTCATCCTATAATTGTTTAGGACAAGTAATCATTGCAGAGGTTTTGTGATTACCAGAGAAAGCAGTGCTGGCTTTAAACAGGCACCTGACTCTGATTTGAGGAATTAATGAGCCTACCTTAGCAGCAGCAGCAGCTATCAATCTTTAACCAGTTTCACTTCAAATTCTCCCCGAGTAATTTAGAGCGAATGCACTATTTTTCCATCATTAAATAAGAAACACCTAATATGGGAGCTCTCTGGACACACAAACACTCTAAATTGGGTTTGAAAAACACATTTGTGTGTCTTCATTTACAAACTTCTTGAGAGACTGAACCTGTGCCAGTAAAGCTCAGTGGTACTTAACATTTGATGTACAATCATTGCAGTGGGTTTGCTCACACCAAATACCTTTCTGATTTGATTAATCCAATTATATTATGTTTTTTTATTTTCAGGTTATGCTTCAGTACGCACAGTTAACAGGTTGAGATTGTTCAGGTTTATGGATTTCCCCTGACATAAAAATCCTCCAATCTCTCCCAAACATACACACATATCTGCATTATGATGGAGGCCACCATGTTGAGCTGCAATGTTCTTAACAGTAGCCCAGAATTGACAAATCACACACCGGCTCTAGAGTGTTTTCACATTGACGTAGTAGCTTGGATTTGGAGATGCTTGGAAGGTGAAGAAGTAGTAATGTTAATTGAAGACAGCAACAGAAAAAAAAGGACAACAGCATGAATCCCATCATCAAAGAAGCAAAGACATGAAAAAATGGGGTCGATAACAGCACAAAACAAGGATAAACATTAATGTGGCCTTTGCCAGATGGAAATCCTTGATGAGGGACAAATGTTTCCAGAATGATGACAAAGTTGACTGTTTTCTTCTGGACAGGTAATTTTGCCTAACAAGTAACATTAGCCTTAATGCAAGTTAGCACATAGCCACTGCAGTCAAGTGAGTTAGCGTTAGCTTTTGCTTAGTCTAGTCAGCCACACTTGTTTTCCAAGTGCATAAATTGTCCTACATTTTAGGGTAAACGCTGTCAACCTCACAGACTGCACCTTTAAACCACATAAGTTCGAATGGAGAGGTTTCAAAGTAAAATATTTATTTAAATTTTGACATAAATAATTAGTGGCTAAATTAGAATTAAGTATTCGTTTGGTTGTAAAATTCATATTATTATGGCCTTTTTTGCTTCTAAATAACCCCCTTCTCTAAAAGTTAAAGTAATTTACTGCACTGAGTCATGTTTACTGGATTAATGATCATGGGGGTGACTCTGGTTTAGTGGGTAGAGCAGTCATCCCCCAACCAGATATTGGTGGTTTGAATCGCAGTGCCTGTAGTCCACATGTCAAAATGTCCTTGGGCAAGACACTGAACCCCCAAGTTGCCCCTGACAGTTAGAGCCATCGGTGTGAGTTGGCCGCAGATGGCTGCCTCGGTTCTGTACCAGAAACAAATTCTTGTGTGTGTAGCATGGCCAAATAAAGGTGATTATCCTTATCCTTATCTTCCAAATAGCCTTGCTTGGCAAACGTACTGTAGCACCCTGACAACAATTGTGGCTACTGGGATGATGTATTTACTGGCTTGCTGAACAATTTGGCTCCTTGCTTTTCTTTTCACATTGCTAAACAACATAATGCTGTGGAAAGAAAAGGAATACATCTAATGGTACATTTTCATCAGAATCCAGTGGTATTCAGTTGTGGTAAGTTGTGCTGGCAAAAATTCAACCAGCATGGCAAAGCTGATCAAAAGATCAGATTCAGTATTCCATGTCCGGACTCTGACAGACAGATAAAACAAAGCTTTTCTTTCCCCTTACTGGCTATATAATGTGATCTGCAAAGTGAGCTGAAACCATCTAACCGATGGCTGAAGATTCATTTGGTATAAACAAAAACAACAAAAACAAAGCAAAAACGAAAAACAGAATAACACCTCAACCACACTGTGTGTTGCTTGAGATGTGAGCACACAACACAGTTTAAATCCCATTTATCACCAAAATCTGGCCATGACAGATGATTTTAAAGATCGTGGCTTGGCACTGGTTTGTGTAAAACAGGGAAGCCACCACAAACAGCTGACATCATGTTATGTCCAGGACTTTACATTTCAAATCTCATAGTCCAGTTAAAGCTGTCAGTTTTATGGGTTTGATATTTATGAGTCTAGGTGAATCTGAACTGGATGCTCAGATCTGCATCTGGAATGATGAGTGGTCAAATGACATTCATGGGTTTTAGTGTTTTATATCTACAAGCGTGTTTCCAGATAAAAATTTTCTTTCGGCACTGTAGAAATCAAACTGTTACTGCATGCATACTTCTCACTGTAGCGCATTAGACTTATGAATAATTTCTGAGATGTTATAATCTGCTGGTTTGTGTTGAAAGTACTTAATAGTAATACTATCATTCAGAATAGTGGTGTGTAAACATCATCCACGTCCTCCATGCAGCATTCAGCAGTTAATCAAAGGGTATAATAGATTTACATCTGGTGTTTTAAATGGGAAACAGCTGCATTTTTGAAGCAAGAACATAATTAACATGCCCCCCAGCTGTTTAATTAGAGAACATAAAATCTTAATATGGACTGATTTACGATGCCTGAATCATTAATGCTCTAATGTTTCTTTCTTAATATTGTTGTCACAAATTATAAAGGAAAAGGTTGTTAGAGCACCTGACAACTCAAGAACTCACTAAGGTGAACATAATTGAATGAGCAACTCCAAAATCTGTAAACACTGGAGTCACTGGTGATGGCATGGCACTGATTTTCCACCACAATGTGAAGGTAACATTGTGTTTGCTTTCTTAAGTGACTTTTTTAAGAGACATCAAGTTTAATAAGGCAAAAGCTGCCATGTCTGAGCGGTAACAGCAAACACGTTTGTTTATTGCTTTGAAACATCAACACACCCTGAGAGAATGGCCGCTGCAGGGAATATCCTCAAAGATTTACATGAATTATTAATACACCTTGTAAACAACATTCACATCCACACCTGACAAGCACCATCTCACTTTCTGTACATACAGTGCTGAAGTTTTTGTAGGTGCATGTTTCCCCACGAAACCTGCACTCCAGCAACATGTCCTCCAGCTGGTGGCCGAGGCGTCCCATCATCTCAGTGGTGTTGACGTGGTAATCAGGGGGCGGACTGTAGCTCTTGAAGTCCAGAAGGCTGAGGAGCTGAAGTTTGTGGCTGTCCCTAAGGATGGACAGGCTCCTCTCCATCACTGTGTGATTAGGATACATGAGGTCCATCCAATAGCCGCTGTGATACAGGTCATCCTTGGTCAAAGTGGATATGCGGAAAACATTTTTATTGCAGAAAGTAACAGCTGGGAAGGACATGTTGTGAGCCCAGACCATGTATATCTTCGTGACAGCTGGGTAGGACATCAAGTAGAGGATTCGATTCCAAGACCAGGTGATGAGGAGACTGACACAAACGAAGAAGGCCATGATCCAAATGACTCGCTGCAGTTTTGATTTGTCTGGAGAGAAGATAAACTTCAAACCGTGGATTTTGGTCCTCATTATGCAATCCACTGTGATCCCTTTCCATGTTGGTTTCATTGAGCTGGACTTTGTGCTTTGGAGAGTGGTCTCTTCGGCATCATTTTGTTTATGTAGCCCCAGGGTGACTGATTCAGATGTGGATCCTTTAACCATCATGAGTCAAGGCAGAAACTTCTTAACTAGATACTGTCTCAGTAGCCCAGCCTAGACATCCCCAGTTTTAACACACTGGCTTTCTCCATAATCATCTCCAGGTTTATGTAAAATTCCAGGTAGCAGCAACTGGACTCCTAACGCACAGCTGTCCCACTGTTCAGGCTTGAAAATTTGTTGTTGTGAAGATATAAACAAAGAAACTGAGCTCCTTGGGGGAGGAAAAATGGATTTACATAATGATTTCTTTATGAGAAAAACAGCTGAATCATTCCATTAACAAAAACCATAAAGTGTAACCATCGCTGATCCTTCATCAATAGAAAAATGGATGTGATAATTGCAGATGCAATGGCTTTAATCTCAGAGGCAATCACTTTGAAAATCTGGAAAGGCTTACCCCTGTTGCTCAACTCTTTCACTCCCCATTTCCCTCTCCAGTGACAGACAATACCTGCAGATTTCAGTGGTTTCTCTCTTTGTGTAGTAGATGCCCAGAACCAAACTCCTCCCTTTTTCCACAGACTGAAGAGGTGCTTTTTAGTCTGTTGAACTGCAGTCTGCAGAAAGGACTGTGTAGCATGTTGCACCCCTACACCCTCTCTCTACAGTCGAATAGAGAATGAGGTGGAGCCAGTGCATGAAACTGTTTTCCTTCGGTGATGAAGTAGACCTCCAGTGGTATAGAGAGGTGGGGGAAGACATCAATCAACAAGGAAATAATCATGATAGAGAAACTGTGCCACAGAAAAATTGTCTAAAATTCTTTATTACTGAAGAATCTGCAACTGTCTCGTGTATCAATATATCTATATAACTGATAACTGAAGGGAGCTAGCTAGTTGAAGAAAAACAGCAAAATCATCTTCAAAGTGTGCTAGAAATATCCAGTACAGCATGTTTTTTAGTTCTTTTCTACCAGTTTCAAATACAGTTTCACAAATGCATTGTAATGAGAGATGACATCCTGCTGCATGCAGATGTGGCCCTGGCTGATATTTAAGCTGCTTTGCTCCTTTTGTGTGAGAATATCAGAAGATTCTGCTTGGCTCAGCCTCACACTGAGACATTTTTATTATGTTAGTTGGAATCTTTTCAGTCCTTAATGTGAATATTGGCTGGGTAACTTGATCACAGCTGTGGTGAAATTAGAAATGGTTCTGAAAAGTGAAAAATAACAAAATGTTGGGCTACTGTGTGTATCAGGTTTCTTTTGCAAGTTTAGACAGCATGAATGGGACTAAAATAATTGAATTTGTCC